CCGCCGGGAGATCGCCGCCCTCAGCGCCGCCATCTTCTTCCCCTCCCACACCCCCCTGCCCTCCACTTTCGGCCCCCCCCCCTCTACCCCCTCGTCGCTCTCCCTCTCGTCTCGTCACCCCTCACACCCTCCGTCGGACGCCCGCCTCCGACCTCGCCCTATCGCGCGCGCCCCCGGGGAAGCCACACACACGCACACACACGCACACCCCTGGCTAGCTCACCTCCAAGAGCACTCTGCCCAGGCCCTTGCCCCTCTCCTCCTCCTCTTCCTCCTCTTCCCCATCCGGCACTTGGCTGGCGTGCCCCTCGTTCCCTGCGCGGTACGCGACGGGGATTTTCGCCCCCCCCCCCCCTGTTTTACACTCCGATGTGCCTCCGTTCGCCGGGCCCGCGCTGCTACTGACCACACACCCCCCCTTCCCCCGGCTCCCCCCTCCGCCTTGTCGCCCCCCTCCCCCTTTCAACAGACCGCGACCACTTGTCGCGCCTCGGCCCGCTTCCCCTTCTTTTTTATTCGTGCGTAAGCCCTTCCTCTTTTGCCACCCTCGTCGCCCCCGCTCCCGCTCCGCACACACACACACACACATACACACATGCCGGCTCACCCACTGACGCCCTGCCCAGGCTCTCGCGCTCGGCTCTGCACACGTGTGCCGCTAGATATCGACAATGTCCTCGAGATCCGTACGTGTCCGAGGGCCACCCCCCTGCCGATGCCTCCTCCTGCATGTGTCCCTGCCTCCCCAATGTCACACCTCTGCGCGCGCGCGCGCGCGCGCACACACACACACACACACACTCACACTCACATCCCACATCTCAACGCGCATGCACATAGCGGATGAAAAAGGATGACGAGCTCTTCAGCTCCGCCTCGCAGGGCAACCTGTCTCTCCTGAATGAGCTGATCCCCGAGCGCCGGGTGGATGACTCGTCGAAGACCAAGGCCGGCGGTGCGGCCGGGCGAATGACCGGCGTCCTGTCCAAGGTCTTCCGCCGGGATGTCGACATCAACACCATCAACGATGACAGCATGACCATCTTGCATGTGGCCGCCACGTCCGGCTATGCGGAGTACCTCCGTCGAGCCATTGATCTTGGCGCGCGTGTGGACATCGTTGATCGCACTGGTGCGCCGGTTTCTCCGCCACTTCCCTCTCTCTCTCTCCTTCCCTCGCCTGGGCTCCCCCGCATGTGTGGCTGTGTCGTCCTCCTCTGATCGCCCTCTGACCCGATTCCGCCCCCCTCCCCCCCCCCCTCCCATCCTGGCCTCCCTCCTGCTTGACGGCTCCACAGGCAACACGGCTCTCCATTACGCCGCGTGGGGGAACCACCCGGAATGCGTGCGCGTTCTCCTGGAAGCCGGGGTCCCCGTGGACGGGCTGAACAATGACCAGTGCTCGCCGCTGCATCTGGCGGCCCAGTTCAACCGGTCGGCCGACTCGGCCCAGCTGCTGATGGCCGCCGGGGCCAGCCCCCTCTTGCAGAATCGCGCCGGGCAGACGCCGCTCGACCTGTCGGCCGAGTACGGCAAGGATGCCATCCTCCGGCTGCTGGCCACCAAGGAGGTCCTGGACAAGGTGTATGCCAACCCGTCGCAGCCGCCGCCCCGGTCGCCGTTGCATCTGGCCGCCAGTGGCGGGCATGCGGACTGCGTGGCGGTCCTCCTCGATGGCGGGGTCGATGTCAATGCCATGAGCCACATCGGGTCCACGGCCCTGCACTATGCCACCGAGCGCGGCAAGCACGCGGTCGTGGCCCTGCTGCTGTCTCGCGGGGCAGACATCCATGCCAAGAACCGCGGCCAGCTGACCCCCATCCAGATTCTGTGTGCCACAACCAACCGGCTGAAGGAGAACCGGTCGTTCATTCTGCTGTCCTCGGCCACGCGCGGTGTCGACCCGGAGGCGGCCCTGGCCGCTGCTGGTGTGTCCCTGGCGCCGACCGTTGTGCCGATTGTCCGCGACCCGGAGGCCGAGGCTGTTCCCGGGGCGGCCGTCGTTTCGCCGGTGGCCGCCTCTTCGGCGGGGGCCGCCGCCGCTGCTGCCACCGCCGCCGCGCCTGGCGGTCCTCTTGGCAGCGCCAGCAGCTCCGTCTCCCTGGCGTCCATGGGCAGCCTCGGCCAATCGGCCGATGGCGGCGGGCCGTCCACTCCCGGGCGCCCTGTCGGGAGTGCCGACCCGCCGGCGGCGGTCCTGTCACCTCTCGGCCCGGGGGCGGCCGGTGTTCTGTCCGACACGGCCTCCATTGCCTCGCAGTCGGATGCCAGTGGCACGGAGGGTGCCCTGGCCACGGGGCCGGGGCCGGCCATGTCGGCTGCCTCGCCGAGCCCTGCGGCCGCGGCCGCGGCCCCGGCTGCCACCAAGCAGCCCAAGGTCCTCGGCCGTGCGGTGGCCCGCATGAGCCACATTGGCTCCATCTATGACGCCCTGGCTCTCTCCTTCGAGGAGGGCGACGAATTCGAAGTCCACGACTTCCGGCCCAGTGGCCTTTGGGTTGGCCGGCTCCTGCGCACCGGCCAGGTGGGCGAGTTCAAGTGCAACCTGGTCGACGTGACCGAGGAGTATGAGGAGGGCGACGAGGAGGAAGATGAGGCGGAGCAGCAGGTCGCCGATGAGCCTGCTGCCGGTGCTCCTGCCGCCATTGCCCCGCTGACCGCCGCCCCGCCGAAGCCAACTCTCAGCATGGCTGGCCTGGTGCCGCCGCAGCCGCTGGCGGCCGGCGCGCCTGCTTCCTCCACTTCGGCCGCCAGTCGGCTGGTTGCGGCCACGGCTTCGGCTCCGATCCCGGCCCCGATCTCGGCCCCGGCGCCGGTGGCGGCGGCCGCGGCCGCCGCCGCCCCCTCTCGGGCCCCCTCGCGCCATAGCGACTCCTCCGGCAGCGATTACTCCAGCAGCAGCGAGTACGACTCGGACTACTCCGGCAGCGAGTCCGACTCGTCCGATTCAGATATCGACATGCCTGCCGACCCGTTCGGTGCACAGGGCGTGCGTGTGAACACGGTCGCCGCCACGACACTGCCCCCGCCGCCGGGGCCCCGCCCGGGTGCCGCTGCTGTCCCGTCCAACCTCCCGCCGGCGGTCGGCCCAGACGGCCGGCCCTGGGTGGACAAGTGGCTCTTTGACATCCACTGGGAGTGCTATGTGGGCGCCTTCCATGCGGCTGGGCTGACCTCTCCGGCGGATGTCCTGTCGTCCATTCGCTCGGCGGCCGATCTGGCGCGCCTGGTCCCGGGGATTACCCTGGCCCATCACCGGTCGAACCTGGCCGAGGAGGTGGAGTCCCTGCGCCGGCAGTACGGCGACGTGGCGGCCACCACCGTCCCGGCTGGGGATGCCCTTCCCTCGGCGGCCCTGCCCCGCAAGCCGCAGGTATCCATCTACGGCATGCCGGCGGGCTTCGGGTCGGCCAGCTTCTCGGCGGCCTCGGCTGCCGAGGCGGCCGCCGGCTCCAACTCGGCCCCCTGCAGCAGCGGCGGCACCAGCGGCACCATCACCAACAATGGGATCACTTTGCCGAAGCCCCCGGCGCCCCTTGGGCCGGCCAGCTCGTCGGTCCCCTCGTCGCCGATCGATCTCCCCCCGCCGATCGGCGGTGCCGTGCCGGACGACATGCAGGATCTGTTCAATGATCTGAATGATGTCATCCAGTCCTTCTAAAGGCCTCCACACATACACACACACACACACGCATGCAGTGACACGCGCGCGTCGTCCCCCGTGCATCTATATCCTGCACACATGGTGATACATGTTCCCCCCACATGTGTGTTCACATACGCATGGATGCGCGTGTGTCCCCCCCCCCCCTCCCTTGGGTGTGCATGCGAAAGATGGGTGGAGGAGTGCGCTCTCTCTCCGTGCCCGCCCGTCTCCACCGTTGAATGATGTTGCGCTTTGCTTTGCGCGCGCTTGTGCGCATGCGTGCGTCTGTCCATATGTGCTCGTGTGGCAGCATGGAGAGGGGGCAGGCGCAGGCCGTGTGGGCCGCGCGGGCCTCGCGGGTCGGCGTGCCGGTTGCCTCCCCCCCCCCCTCCTTTTGTTCTCCATTGTTTCTCCCCCTCCCTTTTCCCCTCAAAAATACAAGACACAATCTCATTCACAACGGCGCGCCCTCCGCGGATGGCCATGCCTCAGATCAAAAGGGCGGATATGTGTGCGCGCCGGCATCCCGGGTGCGCGCACTCCTGCTCCCCTTGGAAGGAGAAGTGAATTGCAGCCGGCACGGTCTTTCCTTTTTTTTTTTCCTTCCCATCAAGTGTGTGGATCCCCTGGCGTGGCGGTGGCCACCTTTCACAGAAACAGCGCTGTCTTTCCTTGCCTCTGTCCGTCTGCCCGTCCGCACGTCTGTCTGTCTGTCTGTCTGTCTGTCTGTCTGTCTGTCTGTCTGTCTGTCTGTCTGTCTGTCTGTCTGCCTGCCTGCCTGCCTGCTTGCCTATCTCCCGCTCTCTCCCCCTTCCTCTCCCGCCTCCTTCTCTTGTCCCTCGCCTGTGCCGTCTCCCACACACTCGCTCATGTCCCCCCTGTCTCCCCCATCAGAACCCGAGCCTTCCCGCGGAGAGACCCACACGCGGCTCCTTCCCACTCCCGCTGGGCTAACACAAGAAATGCGTGCATACACACACACACACACACACGCAATAAAACAACACGACAAAACATAAACATGGCTACAATATATTTACAACGGTGTCACCACCGGGAGGAGGAGGCAGCTGGCAGCAGGCCAGGGAATGCATCAGCATGCAGAGGCGCGGCGCGCGACAGCCAGAGCAGGAGAGAGGGAGAGAGAGAGATGGAAGAGCGGAGGCGGGGGGCTCTGGAGGCGAGGCACGCGCACTCTCGGTCTTTCTCAGACACACACACACACGCCGAGGGGGGAAAGCCGGGCGCGGGGGAGGGGAAGAGAGAGAGGGAGAGAAGGAAGGAGAGGGAATATAGAACAGCGCCGGGTGGGCACGCGAGCGGGAGAGGGGGAGAACGAGAGTGTGGCGACAACTGGCACACCCTGTCTCTTTCTCGGGGGGAAACACGCACACGCGCGGCAAAGACACGCAGCACACACGGTCACAAAGAGCACACGACGCACAAGCACACGGGAGAAAGGCGCATACACAGTCACACACACACACACACGCCAAGGGCGCGGAGGAGGGGGCGAGGGGATAGATGCGCGCGCGCTGCCGTGCACACACAGCGGGATGTGCGGAAGAGTGGCGCAGATGCGTGCTGGAGAGGGGGAAGAGGGGGATGTTGGAGGAAAGAGCCCGGCAAGGGAGGACACCGCGTGTGCCCTTTCGCTTAGAAGCCGTGAACCTTGATCAGGTCCTTGGGCACCAGGTTCTCCTTGGAGAGGATCTCGGAAATCTTGGTGCGGTGATCACCCTGAAGCTGGATGACCTTTCCCCACTCGGCATGGGTGACAACGGTGCCGTTGCAACAGAAGTCACGCTTGAAGATCTTAATCAGACGGGAGATCTTCTCCTCGTCAAGGTAGCTGCTAAGTCCCTGAACAGTGGTCAGAGTCTTGCGTCCATTGCGCTGCTGGAGTCGGATGTCTGTGGGTGGGTGGCGGAGGGGGGGAGAGAGAAAAAAAGAAAAAAGGGAAAGAAAGTTAAGGAGAACACGGTAGTTATGAGAGGGGGAGTGGGAGAGGGGGGAGGGGGGAGAGAGAGAGAGGGGGGGAAGGTGTGTGTGTGTGGGAGAGCATAGGGGCTCATGATTCAGAGTAACTATGACAAAAAACTTCAAGGCGAAACTGGCACCGTCGCGCTGGGCGCGCCGGGAACCAAGAGTGCCGGGCTCCAAAACGGAGTTGGGTTCAGGAAATGAATCAAAGCTATCATCACTAAGGAGAGCGGCCTACGCTTGCACACACACACACACACACGCTGCGAGCCCCCGTCATCTGGGGAGGGAAGGAAGAGGGGGCCGGGAAGGTGATGCGAAGATGTAGGCGGAAGGGAGGGGGGCTGTGGCTGTGCAGCACGGCGCGGCGGGCGAGAGGAGAGGGAAGGCAAGGGGTCGAGAGAAGGCTGTGTGCATGTCGAAGGACGGGACACATCGCGGCTGCCACACTGGAGCGGGAAGACCACCCCCTGAGGCGACTCCGTCGGATCCACCCCCGTCCGCTGGCAGGCCCCCCTGCAAAGTAGGCAGGGACGCGCAGGCAAGCGGCAGAAGTGGCACCGAGGAACGGCGAGGGGGGGGGAGACGGCACACAGCGGGAGGCGGGACGTGTACAGGCCCCGAAAGACACGCATGCGCACGCGACACTGCCGGCAACTCACGCGCGCAGACACACGCACACACACAGACCCACGGCCGGACCGACACACTTGCACGCGCATCGTCACCCGACAAAGGGGGAGGGAGGGGGGAGGGGGATGCTGCCATCACGCGCGAACAGCGGTGGAGGGCTGCACAATAAGGATACGGACAATGTTACCAAGAGCATCACTGTTGCCAGAAGTGGTCTCGGCAAAGGGGTCGTAGAACTTCTTGAAGTTTTCAATATCAGACATGCGAGACGGATCGGAGAGGGCGACGGGTCGCGAGAAGAGGAGGGGAGGAAATGTAACTGCGGGGGGCGGGGAGCGGGGGGCGGGGCGTCAGACGGTGCGCAGAGATGTCATGGGCGGCGGGCGGGCGGGGGGGCGGCAGAGGAGGCAGAGAGGAGGGAGCAAGAGAGAGATGGTGCGAGGGGAGGGGGGGAGGGGGGGACGAACCAGCGAGTCCCAAAGGCGATGATTTGGGTGCTAGTCTGCTCTCGTCTGCGGTGGACAGCTGCCAGCGTGGTGTCCCTTTTACGCTTGCACACACACACACACACACACGCGCGCCCGGACGTACCCCGGTGCCGTGGGGCGGGGCGAGGGCGCGGGGGAAGGTGCCAGAGCGGGATGCAGGGCGAGAGGGGGGGGCCGGGGCCACGGCGCACACGCTGCCGGGCGCCGTATTGCCAGGGGATGATAGCACGGCCGGCACCGGCCGGGTTTCGGCGCAGGAAGCGATAGGGCGTCCGACCCTAATCCCCGACACCCGGCCGGGTGCCTGTGCGAATGCCGCGTTCGCGCGCGCGTGAGCCCTGTCGCTGCCGCCCCCGCCCCCCCGCCCCCCGGACACACGCAGTCTGTCGGGGGGCGAGGCCCTTCCCCTGGCGCGCCCCCGGCCGGGGGCGCGCGCCCGCGCGCACCTGACGCGGGGAGGCACCACCCCTCGGCACTGTACGCCCCGGCCACCCGGGGCTGCCCCCGCCTACTCTAGGCGGGTGGGCGGGCGGGGCAGGAGGCCAGCGCTCCCAGCAGCAAAAAAAAAAAAGCGCGCCGGGCCGGGACCCGCGCAGACAACGGCGCCGACGTGCTCCGGCGCCAGCGCCCCGCCGGTCGCGGAAAAAAGCCCTGGCAGGAGGATCAGGAATATAATGGACCTTGAGCCGGGCCGACACGACGAATGCAGCCCCACAAACTGGGAAGCCGCGCGCTGCGCGCGGCCGCCCCGGCGCGCGGGGGGCAGACACCGAGAAGCTTGTCGCCGGGCCCGACGACACAACACCTCCAGGGTCGGGGCGTTGTGCGGCGCCGCCCGCGATGGCCCCCCCCCCCCCCCCGCCCGCCCGCAGGCGCCCTCTCCACGCGTCGCCCACCCGCCGGCCCCTCTCTCCCTCCCCCGAGGCGAGGAGAGGAGCAATCAAGCGGCGGGGTGGACCGTGGCCGGACAAAAGCACGCAGGGCCCCCCGCCGCATCAGTGAGCCGCATTTCACTCCGTGGTCCCCAGGCCCCCCCCCCCCAAGGCCGCGCGACGCCAAGGCACGACGCGGCCGCCGGCGCCCCCACCACCAGGGTAAGGGGCTCGGAGCTTCCCAGAAGATACGCCCCTGGAGCGGACCTCGCTCTCTCGGGGGCCGCCGCCCCGCGCCCGGTCTCCGCGGTCCCCGGGAGATCGCCGAAAGGAAGGCCCGAGAGCCGGCCCGGCACAGGCACACACGACAGATATACCCTGCCTCTCCGGCGACCAGGCACAGGGCGGTTTAGAATGGGGCCCCCCCCCCCCTGCGGCGGGCGGGAGACAAGGGCAGCGCGCGCCCGGGCCGTCCGCCCGAACGCCGCAGGGGGAACCCTTGTCACCGCCCGGCAGGCGTGCTCGAGCCTGTCCTTAGATAAGCCGTCAGAGGGGAGACGGGGCCACACGGACCGCGGTCGGGGTTGAGACGGGGGGAGATGATGCCACAAAACACTCCTTCCGCCACTATTATATTGGCCAAATATCCCCCTCCGGCGCTGGCCGGGCCGCGGTCTTTCGAGCCTCCGGCCCGGCGTTTCCCCTTCGGGAGCCCACCCTTCCAGAAGATGCAGGCCAATCCGCCGAGACCCAATGTTAAACCCTCCTCGGCATGCGCCGCCGCGGCGGTCCACCGGCCCGAGCGACATCCCCCCCCCCCCCCGGCCGGGCGCCTGGCCGAACAGCCCGGCCGCCCCCCGGCGGCCGCCCCCGGGGGCGCCCGCAATTAACAGCCCGGCCGGCGTCGCCTCACTCGGGGCATGCAGAAACCAGGCTGGCCGCCCTCTCGCGCCCGCCTCTCGCGCCTCCCGCGTCATCAACGCTGGTCAAACCCGACACCGGCACAGTGCACTGTCCCCCCGCCTCTCCGCCCGCCTTTGGCCACTGGCCGGGGGGGGGGGGGGGGCCAAGGGGGGCCCAGCCGGCGGGCGCTCCGCCGTGCGCGGGCCCCTGCATGAGCGCGCCGACCTTTCCTCCCTCTGGGTTATACTGTAGGGAGGCGTGTCCCCCGGCCGCCGGCCCCCGGCCGCCGGCCCTCGGCGGATCCTCCTCGCGCGCGCGGACGTCCCGGCCTTGCTCGCCCTGCGCTGTCCCCCATGGGTTTTTGGCCAGACATAGCACAAAAGGATGTGCCACATCTCCGCGGGCGCATGCCACTCGAAAGAACACGTTCTCACATCACGCGGACGCCCGGGAAATCACACCGACACAACATGGTCTGTGCCATCTGGACACCGTAACATGCCCCACCCCCGGTAACTGGGCGCCCGTGTGCGTGCGCGTGTGCATGCGCGTCCCCGCCGCGGGGCACCACCTTCCTCCCGGAGTCTCTCTCTCTCTCCCTGTCGCTCGCTCCTTGGGGCGTGTTTGGGGCCAGAGGAAGGCGCTGTCATCCATCCCCAGTGACACACACCCAGAGTCAAGAAGACCGAGATCAATGCCTTCGGTCGGATGGCCGACCCTAGCCAGCCCCTTCCCCTCCTCCCCTCCCCCGCCCCTCTTTTCCATCCTTCTTTGCCCGTTTTGTCGCGCACCCCCCAGCAGTAATCATGGCCACCGCACGCCAGCGCCGCCGGACCAAGAACCCCAACCGCAAGGTGACTCGTCGGGTGTCGGATCGCCAGAAGAATGTGCGCCTCTCCCCTCCCCTCCCCTGCCCCGCCCTCCCGTCCAGTTGGCCGCCCCCGCACAGCAGGCCGTTCAAACGCCCTCAGCAACACACCACCCCCCCCCACCACCCACACGCGTTACTTACACCCCCTGCCACTGTAGATCCACATCGAGAACCCCGCCCTCCGTGAGGCCTGGGACAAGCGCCTGACTCTGAAGCAGAACTTCGAGCGCCTCGGCCTGGCTCTGGACCCGAATGCCGCCGCCCCCCTCGCGCAGAAGCCCTTCATGGACTACCTTCGCCCGCTCGACTCCCTCGGCCTGGCCAAGCCTGTTGAGGACCCGAGCGTCCTCGAGCGTACGCACCGCTGCCTTGCATATCGCCTCCCCACCCCCTCTCTCTTTCTCTCTTTTGCCATGCACACGTGCACATGCCCGCCTGCATCGACGCCCATACGCGCCCGCATCGATACACATGCACATGCATATGCACATGCACATGCACATGCACATGCACACGCACATGCGCATGCACATGCACATGCACATGCACATACTCACCCGCACCCGCACCCGCACCCGCACCCGCACCCGCACCCGCACCCGCACCCGCACCCGCACCCGCACCCGCACCCGCACCCGCACCCGCACCCACACCCGCCCTCCCCATACGCCTGGCTACATTGCAGAGTTTGAGGAGCGCGCCTCCAAGCCCGACACCGTTCACATCCAGCGCCTGACTGAGAACGAGGCCAACCGCATGCTGAAGTTCCGCCAGAAGTACGGGTCCGGCATCGTCGGCGACTCGTCCAAGGACGACTACGTCAAGATGGCCCGCGATCTGAAGCTCAACGTCTACCAGCTGACTGCCAACCAGATCAAGAAGAAGCTCGCCGCCCTGGATGCCGGCCTTGCCCCGATCCCGGCCGTCTACAAGATGGAGTACGCCAAGAAGGCCGCGGCCAAGGCCGCTTCCGAGGCCGCTGCTGCCGCCGCTGCCGAGGCTGTTGCTGCTGCCAAGAAGGCGGCCAAGGCCGCCAGCAACTAAGGTGTAGAAGCAGGAGAAAACCAGGCCCCCCCCCTCCCCCGGGGGCGGAGCGCGGGATCGGAGGGCGGGCCGAATGGGGCTGTTTTTGGTGTTCCCCCCCCCTCTCTTCCCGGCAGCGATGTCCGCCACTCTTCCCTCCGCCTCTCCCGCCCCCTGCGGCCTACGCCTCCCAAAGTCACACCCCTGTCCTTGCCCAGAAACTGCCAACGAACGGCGCTTGTATTATACACACATGACCAAATCATCTCACACGCACATGCCAGCACACAAGCTCCCCGGGGGTCGTCCTCCCCGTCCTTGTTTTTTTCCTCCCCACGCGTAGGAGACGGGCCTTCCTTTTTTTTCTCTTTTCCACCCCAGCGCTCCTGCCCCCCCCCCTCCCCCCGCCCCTGGAGCCTGGATGTTGGGACAGGGTGCAGGCGGTGCCGTTTCTCCCGCGGCCGCCGGGGCTGTGTGTCCAGGTCCCTCCCCGGTGATCGGGGGGGGGGGGGGGGGGAGAGTCTTCGGATCGTTTTTTCGTGGGGCACTCCAAGTTCCCGGGCCGGACACATTGCCCGCCGCCATCACCCCTCCTCCCCTGCCCGATCTCGTCCTTTGATTGCCGTTATTTCGCCCCACCCTCGCCCTTCCCCGTTCCGCCCGCCAGCCCCCTCCTCCCCGGCATCCACTCCTCCGCTCCCGCCGTCGTCCTCGCTATCGCCCGGATGCTGTCCCCGACCGCGGCGGCCGAGCCGCCGGCCCAGGCGCTCGGGCCAGACCCCTTGGCCGCGGCGCAGAGCGCCCACCCGATTGGCGAGCAGCGTCTTCTCCAGTCATCAGATGGCCGTCTCCGTGTGTCTCTCTCCCCCCCCC